TCGGGAGAAAGCATGGTGAAAGTCTGGCTGTACCTCACCATTCTCTTCAGGAATCCTTCTCTTCAGAGATGGGCCAAACCAATTGAGCGCGAGGGGTGAATGGGGAATTAAAGTTTAGAGAACCTACTACGTGGAGATGGGATATGTGGCTTGCAGTGGCACGTGATGCTGTTCTTTCCGCTTTGCTGAGGTTTGAAGGCCACGAAACTGTGACGCCACAGGAATCCAATTCAAGTGACAAAGTAGTCAAAGGGTGGTCTCCCACCGCCATTATTCACTATAGTGTTTTTTGTTTAAAGATTTGCTTGGGTCACTTGCGTCATTGTTGTGCCCAGGTCCCTCTGGATTGTTCAGCCTTTGAATCAGCCGGTTCGCTGGCAAGGGTCTCACGTCTCAGCGTGGCTGGCTTTCACTTCATCCGCTAGGGATAGCTTGGACCCCTTGGACCCCTTGGACAGATGAATAAACCCGCCCTAGGGTGGGGGCTCCTCCAAAGGTGCCAAGGGTTGGACAGCTCAGGGAGGAACTACATAGGTGCCATACTATGGAACCCAAAAACATCCAGTAAAGGAAACATCCAGTAAAGGTTTGGCTTCCAGGTCAATTTGCAAGAGAGTCTTTTTCCGCAACCCTGCACTTTTCTGGCTGGCTTTCACGGATGATTCGCGACATGAGCTGCTGGAAAAGTCTAAGCCTCAAACATGAATGAGGGCTGAGTAAGCTTTCAATACGGCTTAAGCGCATGTGTTGCTTTGTTCGTGGTCTGGTTTGGACTGGGAAAATAGTTGATTTAGGGCATTCGGCTGACTTTGCCATTGCAAGGTTTCAGGTGTTTGGAAGTCTGGCATGGACCTGGGCTTTGTCGGTCACTGAGTAGCATGGAACTCAAGCCATGGAAAGAGGTGCTAGACAAAATCCACTTCGCACCAGCGAGACATCCCTGTACTCATAGGGCTTCATCTACATGGCTTTGAATCTTCATGCGGGACCCATGAAACATGCTAGGTAGGCACCAGTCCCCAGGTAAATAAGTAGCGCTGGTCGCCGTCGCCCTGATTGAGTTTCATGCCGTATGATTTAGCTTTGTCTTGGGTTAGAGCAACTTTTGCATATGAACCACGATCACACACCTGTGGAATTGAAGGTTCGTAAGTGAGGGAAGTCCCGCCAAAAATAGGTGCAGCCGCCCATTTGATTGTTTTGTTTGCTTACCTAGCTTTGGTAGATCATGTTAATATTGTGACTCAAATGAGGTCGACCTCTTGCTTGCGTGTGAGTTATTATGTTCGCGCGCTCCAAATGGCTCAGATCCTGAGCCGCTTAGCAAACGACCGTTGCTTCGTTGAACGAAGCACTGAACCCATCCGTATGCCGAGAGTGCCATGAGAGTGTCAGAGATGGGGCAAACAAAAGTAAAGATATGATTGATATCGGAATTCCAGATGTCAATGTTGGAACATTGCTTGTGAATTTCAACAGGCGACTGCGAGTGCCAATTTTCCTACCAAGCGCCTGGTCGGCGTCAGATTGTCTCCCCGAATCTCTGACACTCAAGTGGCCTTTCTAAGCCCACTTCTCGCACCCTTCGGCAAACATGGGCACGAAGGCCGGGCCTGTGCTTCGCACCCTTCCCAAATACCCAGTTGCAAATCCTGCTTTTCCTGAAACATGCTCTTTAAAGTCAACCACCAAAAAGCGAGTTCTTGCGATCTTGCGTGCGAATGCAAGTTGCAATCAATGGAGCAAACTCATGAGAAATCGACCAGTCGCGCCCTGACCGGAACCGGGTTTGCGAACATGGACCTCCAAAACATAGCAAAGGCAGTTCCCTGTCGAGAGAGCGAGAGGCCAGGGCTCCGGCGCCTTTCGGTCGGCAGCTTGAAACGTCGCTTTTGAATCCTCAGATGTGCTTGGCGAGTTGCCTTCTAAATGTTTGGTTGGTTTTGGGGGAAGGCCATTCAGGCAACCCGTAATTGGTGGCTTGGCTTGGATTGAGGAATGGGAACCAGCTCCTAACCTCTAAACCATCAAGTCAAACCACAAGCTAGAAAGAAGCTGAATTGGCAAGCAACGAGCTGAGGCAGTTTCCGTTGAGGTTTGCAAGACGTCCAGTTCAACGATAAACAAATATATAGATGACGAGGTTTATGTGGAGTCACAAGGAATGACTCACGGTTGAATGGCTACCTGCTATCCATTCCCAGACCGATTACCCGACACGGTAACACATATTAAAAAAAAAAAAAACAGCCTCAGTTTCCAGGACATAGATTATGAATGCAGGACACCGTCCAAGAAGGAAGGGACTTATTTCGTTGCATCTCATTTCTATATATTGTAAAGTCTTTGTACGATGATTCGTAAAAGATTCCTTGCAATTGTCCAAGCTGACGTGGACCATCCCTAGGGCTCCTCCAGATTCTTATTCCATTTCAAGGATATTCAGGGTAGACTAAATGTGAACCATACTCTGAACATATGGCTTTCTGGGTACCCGAGGTGTGGTTCAAGATCCCAGCAGAGGTCCAAGGCAAACGCCGGTTCCGAGAGTCGCGATCTGATCATTTGTCAGGTAGATCAGCGCTGGGAGTCGCCCATGAAGGTAGAGCTGAGCAAGACAGCACCTGGGAGAAAACCATGCGCTGGGTGTGAGTGTTAGTTGAACGACCCTCTGGTGGACGGCATCTCCGCGGGGATGTGTGCTCACCATGTGTTTGGCGTAGAGTGTTCCTCAGCGAAATGATTGTGAACACACACACACACACACATATCTGCTTTTTTGGATTTTGTGCTCACCGTTTTAGGACTTGTGTTCACCATTTCGGATATGATGTGTATTCCTCAGTTGAAAAGATATCCATTTGATCAAAGTGTTCACCCGGAACCCCGACACAGATGACGATGTATGAAAGCAACCCGTTTGAGAGAGGATAGCCTTCACAGGTTTGGGAAAGCATCACCGCAACCAGACCCAGTGTTAATTCTAGAGAAGCCCTCCTTCGGATGCCTCTTTTTGGAGTTCCACGTTGATAGGGAAGAAAACAACCATCACCAAAATGAAAGCAAGGATCTGAATTTGGCGTTGCTAGCAAACGGCACCAGGTACAACCTTCTCACAGATGCCTTGATCAACATAACTGCTTTACTGGGGGGGGATTGTCATGGACCCCTTGGATCTTTCGCCAACTGATGCAAGGGTTCCTAATGAGAAGACGATTGCCACGGGCCACAGTCAGGTCTTCAGATGGTACATGGGACACCAAGCACGGAACACCAATCCGAATTGAGAAGGAAGCTGGAATCATTGTTTGGGGGCGACCCTTTGACGTTTTGGAGGCATTCCAGTTTTTGTTTGTGTTTGTTTTCTCCAACACTTACCATGCTGGACTGAAGGTGGGATTCCGTTGTGTCAAACTTGTAGATCAAAGCAATGAGTTTTGCATAGCGCTATTCGCCCTCGACTTGAAACCGCGCGGCATATAGGTCCACTCTGGGCGACAAATGTGGTGCCAGCCTTCTTCCGAAAGCCCGGGCTTGACAACATCGCACCCAGTTGGTGCCAATTCCTTTCAACTTTTTCAGCTCCGTGCCAAAAACACGAGTGCCCTTGTCTTCATGGAAAATCTGGGTGTTTTTCACATGGCCTTGGACCTGTTGGCCCTTTCCCGAGCTCGTGAGGCTTCCAAGCTTTGCCTCACTTCTTCCAGCGATGAAGACGAACCTTATCTCGAGACGCTCGGCACAGAACCGTTGCATCTTCTGGCGAGTCGACCGCTTTCCGGACCTGTGAGGTACACCCCCAGAAGCCGTAGTTGGTAGTTGGATGGTTCCCTGCAATCTCAAATTCCTCAGAACTCACAAAAGTCCGTTTCCTGGATGTTCCTTCTTTTTTTTGGCGGGGGGTGGGGTGGGAGGAGGACCATTTAGTGGTGGCAAACAAGCAAGTACTTGGCCAATTCACGGGGTCGGTTTCGGAGATTCGAGGCGCTGGTTCTTGAGGGTAACGGGGAAACCAGCCCCTGGAACACCTCCAAGCCATCTACCGAAGCCACCAGGCAGAGAGAAGCTGATGTTGAGTGGCCTTTCATGTTCCCAAACGCAAATTTTGCCTGAAGAGATGCAAAAGGACAGCCTCCATTTGGGGGCCTCTGAGGCAAGGACCTGTTTCTGCACAGAGGCGGTGAGTGAAACAACATGGGCTTCGACACCAATCACGTGGCGACCATGAAGCCTTGCCAAAAGCTGAGTTGCCCACACCAAAATCCACCTTTCGACATTCCGCTTGGCAACTTTGGATAGACGATTTGGCTGGCAAGCAAAAAGTTTGGATGTTTCTTCTGGCCAACCAACGCAGAAAGTGAGACTCTGTCATATCTTAGGGCATACGAAGTATGAGACCGATTCTGACCATGTTTTGTACCCCAGGAGTACAAAAGACTTTTTTCGGCGCGGGAATCCATGCCGGTTCCTTATTGACCTCTCGGGCAAATCCCTTCACAAGCGAAGTCCCGATTCGGGATCCGGGGTCCCGAGCTCAGGGCCTTGCTTGGGGATTCCGGAGAATGTGATTGGGCGTCCTTTCTTTTTGGGCACCCCACAAGATGATGGATGTTCTTTTATGGTTCCCCTTCAAGAGCGCATAAAAAAAGGAGGTACCCAGAATGCCGTGACAAAGCAGTACACTGGAATGACCCATGGCATCAGATTTCAGGTCACTCGAAGGCTGTGCCACCAGACCCCATACTCCTCAAGGATAAGACAAAAGTCAAGGGTGATAGGAGTAAACAAGCACAACAATTGGCTAAACCCTTAATATTTTGTTGGGGTTTGGTCTTGGATACACTCACTCGTCTGGTGTTCTTTCAACCCATCTTCTTTTTGAGCAAACTTTGTTGGTTTGGTCTCGGGTACACGCACTCGTCTGGAGTTGGTTTTTGCACCGAGGAGCGCGGTAGCGAAGCTAGTGAAGCAAGATGGGAGGCACTTCGTGGCCCAGGCGGAGTCCGAATCGGAGCGGGCCGTTTTTTCAGACGTGGCCATGGGTCAAAAGCCCGGTCATCCCGTGAAACGGGACCCAACCACTAAAATAGGAAGCCTATGGGTGGTGAGTTCACCTACCGACCAAAATGGTCTCCCAAAACGGTTTTGACCACCACCGCCGTGTGTCTTTGTGGTCCTTGTCGCTTGCATGACCCACAGCCGGCTCCCAGGGCTTGAGAAGTTACTCCGCTCGCTTTTTTAAGGATCTAGGAGATAATAATATGTTGAAAAGTTGATGAACAAGATATAGATAGAGAAGTGTAAAGTGATGTCTCATGGTCTAATTCCTCTTCTCTCTACACCGTACATCCTAATCTGGAGAATGCATCAGAGAAGAGAATGGAGATAAGGTTGGATGGAGGTATATCTTAGTCACATGCCATCTCTTTCCATTGTCAATCATCTGTTTACATCTTTTCCTTTCCTATCTGTCTTCTTCATCTCTTTGTCATATCTATTTCATTCCTATGTCTCAGAGAGAAGAATTACAGTGTGAAAGGAATGTGAGGAAGAGAGGTGTAAGGGATAAATGATAGAGAGTTGATATGAAGAGAAAGATAAGAACGAAGGCAAGGCCTGATATTAATGCCAAAAAGAGAAATAGCTGACTCACGCTCCTTCCCTTCATGCCTTCCTTCCCTTTCACGCCTTATCACACTCTGTGGATCGATGGCGTGGGGAAGGAGGAAGATATGAAGGAATGGCTTTTCTCTTCTCTTCAACATTAATTTCTGAGATTTTAAGATGAGATATGAATGGGTCCAGCTTCCTCCCGTCTGTCTAGTCCATGATAATGCTGCCACACGGTCTAACTCATCTCTACAATGCGAGAGAAATGACCCGCGAAGCGAAGGGAATGAACGGTTAGTCTCTTTACTTCTTACCTGCCGTGAGGCCCCTCTCCGTCTCTTTGCATCTCATTTCACTCGCTGTTAAGACGAGGAAAGGCAAGGAATCTCACCGTTCGTTAACTCACTCTATCATTCACCCTCCATTCCTTCCTGTCTTTTCTATCTTCATCTCTGGATTCAAGATCCTAAAGTAAAAGAAATATTATAGAAAAGACATATGAAAAGAAAAACAAGATGAAAATACAAATAAAAAAGAAACGACAATAGAAAAGAAAGAGTGATGAAAGTGTTTCCAAGCCTATATCTCCCGCAGTCTTATCGTTTATTCTAGCGGCTCGGCCCGCCCTTCGGCGGGCCGAGACCAGAAGTGAACAGGCTTACGGCTCCAAAGCCAGTGACCAAACCATTGTGAGTAGAAGATCCGGTGCTAGTGGCATGTTAAAGAGCATTCATTGCCTTCATTTGGTTTCAGCTTTTTGGCTGGACGAGTTCACGGTTATCTTTATGCGCTAGCCGCGACAGTGTCATTGTTCTCAGTTGGGTTTAAAATGGACGTGCTCATAACTGGCAACATGTCAGTGGCACCGAACAGGGAAGTGGAAGGATGTGTTTCGAAGCCCCTCCAGAGAGGTGTCTTGTTGCTCGCGCGTAGTGGTCCCCACTGCCAAGCGTGTATGATGGACGGGCGAAAAAGACTCCACTCTTGGTAAGTTGCAGAATTGGATCCAACGGCTTACCCGAAGGCCACCCAGTCGTGGTGGTGTTTTGTTTGGAACCTTCGCAGCCTCAAGAACCAGAGATTGAATTCCCCAAGGCCCTAGGCTTGTCGCTCGAATTGGTGACTCCCTCTTGAAGTTCGTGTGGATTGACAATTCTCATTCCGGTCTTCTGATTTTGACTTGCTTGTTGTTTGAACGCCCTTTTGAGGGAAAACCAAAATTAATGTTTTTTTTTTCAAAAGGGTTCTGCTACCTTGCCACATCAAATGCAGCTCCCTGAGATCCACACTCTTTCCGCACAGTTTTGCACTAGCATTGAATCAGTTGCCACGCTTCTTCCCTTTTGGGGTTTGGACAATCGAGTGTGTCTCAAACTAGGGCATGCGGCATTGGTTTCCATTTACACCAAGAAGGCCGCAAAACAGGCACACTGGGTAATTCAAGCTTAGGGGACAGTCCCAACCACAAATGGGTGCCAGCATCACCCCGTTTGATTCTTTCCGCGGCTTCCGTCACGCCCTCTTCGTATCCTTCTGGATCACCAGTTGCTGATTTTTGCTCTCTGTGTGTGTGTGTGTGACTCTTTGCAGGCTAAAGTGTCTGGAGAAAGCAAAGCACACCATGCGACCCAGGAGGTTTATTTTGACGGAATGGGGTTATGAAGTACGGGGGGAGTGCTATGAGTAACCCAATTGATGAAGCATCCCCCGGATGATTTTGGTTGGGGTGTTGATGCATGGTAGCGTCGCATACATAACCCTTCCCCCTCCCCTGCCCCCCGAAGTGCAAACAAGCTCCGAGGGAGAAGGTGGTTTGCGGGAGAAGGTACAGTAGTTGTAGGCGGCCGCTCTGAGTGATTGAGGATGCATCCATAACTTGGATTCAGTCTGAATTGGGCTTGGAATCGAAATCAACTGACTTGCTGAGTTCTCAGCAGGTGATCCCCATAAACCATCCTCTAGGATCTCCTTTAAGAGAATCCCCAGGTTCATTCCCAACATCCTGGGTCATTTCCTACTGAGCACCAACAAGTGGACCCAACTGTTGCTTGCCATAAGGGTTTTGGTGGCCTTCAGAGTTGAGAAAATTATTCATATCCCAAAAATGCACCTTAGAAGTCGGTGGTATTCTGCAAGTTTGTTTTTTTGGGGGGGGAACTTGCGTTTGAGGAAACCAAAAGGAAAAGGCAGGGACATACCTGTTCCCTTAAAAATGGTTCGGAGGGTCCCTTCATTTTGAGACACCAGGCGTCTTACGAAGTGCCTGGCGGCTATGCCTCATGGGCGGAGACGTGGCTTTGCATTGGGCGCCGTTTTGGCGAGGTTGTTCTTTTGACTCAGCACCTGAGTTCATGGACTTTATACTTTCCTGGGCCGGGCCGGAGTAACCCGCACAAAAGAGGTGCGACTTTAAAACCTTTTTTGGGTTTGGACCGTTTGATGGTAAACCAACAGTTTGGACTTGTTTGGGCCAATCCACTCAGGAAGTGAATCAGTTGACCGTTGACGGTTTCTTAAAGTCAGGACGTGGGGGGATTCCCTTTCACCTAGTTGGGGGGTGGTCTCGTTCATGCTTGACAACTTGGTTGTAGGGCAATTTTCCGTGATACCAAGAACTTGGCATTTTCTCAGTGACAAGGGAATCCCCCTGAACTCACTTCAAGAGTTTCTCAACTTTATACTTTTTGAAACGACCATTTTAGTGGCACTTGAAAGAACTTGGTTATTTTGTTTGGCCCATCCACTTGATCGGTGAGTGAAAACTCAGAAAATCGCACCACAAATGGGACGGATCCGGATGGCACAGAACAGATTACGGGTGGTTGGAGGGTGTTTTAACATAAAACCAACAAGATACCCACCATGTCGGAATACCCGCAAAATAGGCACACCGCGATGGCGGACACTCCGGGATTTGGTAGCCCTTCTTTGTGGTTTTGAAGCGAAACTAAAAGGGCCATGTTGGAAGGGTCCCCGAAAGAAAGAAGCCCATTTGCCAAGATTAACCGATCCAGAAGTGGTTGGTGGACATGAATCCCTGCAAATTCTGTCCACCGAAGGTCCCTAGTTAAAACTCACACCCCATTTTTTTTTGGGGGGTGCCTTGTTTTGATACGAACCAAGGTCTGATTGAGATTTGCAAGCTGGCCTAGACGGGCTGTACAGCTTTGGCTTCTAGTGGCTCGGAGGTGCAAGCCATCTCAGAATACATAAATTATAAATTATGAGCTTTATATATATATATATTATAAAGCCACAGGGGCCTGCCACACACACACACACAGCTTGATAATTATGCGTGCAAACTAGCCCAGACATCTTGCTATGTCTAAAGGAAGCCAAAAGGGGATGGCTACCCCCAAGCAGTGCACCCACTTGGCACCCGGAAAAAGCAAAAACAAACAACGAACAAAAAACACCAAAAACAGGAACTTTCCACCTGATTCGGTGGGGCGAAGAGTCTTGCACTTGTGCTTACAGTTGGTCATGAGCCCATGGTATCCACAGCTAGGACATCTAACATGCTGTCACAGTCAGAACGCCCCTTTTGCGTGGTTTTGGCAGTGCTGGGCATACGGGTTTGTCTCAAAACAGGGGACCCCCAGCATGATTGGTTTCCTCTTGATTTGCCTTTTCAATGCAACCAAACCGGGATTCCCCGACCCAAGAGGAGAGCCATATAAAGCGTTCAACCGGATTTTCGACTCTGCGTAAGGTTTCCTAGAGAGAGCCATGTCGTGAGCAGCCTAAGCACACCGAGGACCAGCTGGCAGCCCTTCCGGGTATGCCTTGCTTGCCGAACCAAGGGAGTATTGGTCATCCCGAGATGCCCCTTGGCAGATGGCGAGTTGTTGGGCCCTCAAACTACTCCCAAAAAAAAGAAGGCATATCGCCGCAGCATGATGAGGTGAGTTCCCTTTGTTTTGAGGGTAGTTTGAGGGTCCAGGTAGGAAGTTTCGGTCGCTCACTTGTCCTGATGCAGATCGGAAGGACCCCGTAAAAGCCAAACCATCTCCTTTTGGGCAAAACACCCAATAAATGGTACATGTTTATTTGGGAGGGGGAGCCCAAAATGGGTGCCTTCACTTGTAGCATGTTGTTTCTTTGCTTGATTTATTTTAAATCAATCTGGTATTCTTTGTGGTTTTGGTTGGATTCGGGGAGTTGAACCCCTGGCTTGTTGAATAGGAATCTACCCCATCTCCAAGCCACCAATCTACCAAAGGATAAGGTGAGTCAAGGGCCTGGAAGGTGAACCAACTGCCTGCAGTTCCGCCAGGTGTTTTGGCGATTCTTCGGTCCATGGAACCTGGATGAACGAATTCTGCGAACAGCTTCCCTACTTACTTTTGTGGGCGGGACACCTCTTCAAACCTCCATCTAGCTTGGGTCGCTTTTGGGTGTCTTGCTAAGATAGGCCCACTTTGTTGGCGGACAAGAGCGACACATGGGTTCTAGTAGGCGGGTTCCAGCTTCCATCGAAGAACCCTCATGTGCGCCTACCATCCTAGAACCCATGTGTTGCTCATTTGGACCAGACAGATGTCTAGTTCCGACGGCAGAGCAATGAGAGGCGGAGACGGCCGAGTTGGCAACCGAGTCAGTTGTCTTGTTGGACCTGGATTCGGGGAGTTTCTGGACCTTCCTCTCTGAGTTCAGACTTTAAACGCGGCAACCCCAAAGTTGGGTTACTTCTTGGCCAAGCCACTCGAGAAGTGAGACTGCCTTCAGCTGACTTTGGGTTACGGGAGCCTTTGATTTGTCCTTTTTCCAGCTCCTTGCAGGCGAGAGTTTCCGGAGCAAAAAGGAAATCCGCCACTGGTAAAGAGGCCGGTTTTGCCAAACCTGGTTGCAAAAGCTGTTCGAACAGGCCACGGTGCCCTTGAAGCGATTTAGCGGTGTTTTATTAAGCAATAGATGTGTTTTTCAACACATTTAACAAGCTTAAACCCAATGCTGCTGATTTCCCCGGGTGGGGTGTAAAAGGTTGATTGGAGGGAGAGAACACCATCAGATCATGATAGTTGGAAGCCTTCCACAATGGGATTTCAGACCATCAAACATGGGGCCCTGAACAAATGCCATGGGAAAGCTAAAGGCTTCGATCACTGTGCCTAATGCAGCATCTGAAAACACTAGCTTTGGTGTACCCCAGAGAGCCACGCGAAAGCCTGTGGGGCTGATTGCTCAAACAATAGCCGGGAAAGCCATGGCTTATACAAGGGCTCAATCGCCTAATCCCTTTTTCGTGTGGGGGAACGGTGGACATATTTCTATGCTTGCTTCGGGTCAGAAGGAAACTCCAGATATAGGGGACCTCCCAAATGGTGGTGCTCCCCGTATTCCACACCCACATGCCATGGCCAAAGGGCAGAGCTGGACCCTGGTGTCCTTTCGTTTCTTTCAGGTGCAAGAGGCCATGTGTCTACGTATCCGCCTACCGCGCCCTGGAATTTCACAGACCTGGTGTCTCTAAATGGGTGGTGTACCATTTTGGGGCTGGTTTTCAAACGAAACCCAAGAGCAAGGACCCTTTTTGGAGGGTTCCCTATTGCGAGACAGACTCCCATGAAGAACGACCCTCAAGAAGTAGGGGTGTTTCACCAGGACGCCCCGGCAGCGATCAAATTTGGCCTTTGAATTTCCTTCAAAACCTGAAAAGGATAGTATCCCCCAAAAGAAAGGTGCACCCTCACCAGCTTCGTGGTATGTGGTTTAGTGAGTTTGCTGTTTTGGGGGTCTGGTCATGTTTCGGGCTGCTAACAGCGTGACAGCGTGCCGTTGTTTTTTGATGCACCAGGGAGGGCGAAGGGGAGACTGGAGGGGGGAGCACTAGTCAAAACTTATGGCACCAACTTGGCAACGAACGTCCAAGTACCTAGTGCCTCCAGTTGCCGCTGGAGGTAGGTCACCAAGCTACCTCTAGGGTTTACATTGTGACTTCCATGTTAGCACTATAGTTCAGCTTCCTCCCCATCCTGGGTCTAAGTAATTGTCCCATCTCCTTTAATGGAAAAACGGAATTTGACCGTGGGTCACAGGAAGAGTTCGGTGTCCAAGTTGGACATGTGAATTGGCTCAGTTGGCAAGAAGGAAAAACCATCCACACTGCAGTCAGACAACGCTTAGGCCGAAGCAAATTGGCACCACTCGAATGTCTCCAAACCGGAAGGAGTAAACTCTGTGTCGCTTGTCGACCTTTGGACCTTGTGTTTTCAGCCTGTTTTGCCATAGCTTTAGTCAATATTAAAGCAACACATATCCGTACTATTTGGGTCGTTCGCGGCGGATCGGCTTCGATCAGAGTCTGCCAAAGCAGTATCCAATTGACCGTGCCGCAACACCCGGCGAAGCAAGAACTGGCAAGACGGAAATCTTGGATCATGTTCGAACCACATTTGGGTGTGTTTGTCTTTTTGTGGGTGATCACCTGAAAGTTGTGGTTTTCCTTTGGTTTTCCTTTGAATCCAGCAAAAAGGGCACTTTACAAAAAAAGACACCCATTTGCTTACTGCTTCTGAATTACGGTTGCTCGAATGCAGGTCCTTCTCGATCACAAGATTCCATTGTTTCGGTTTCACCGGACCAAATGTCTCGATTATTCGCTCGAATTCAACACCGATTCGGCGCAAGTGCTGACAAATCGGGTGCCCCTTTCTGCGATACCAAGAACATCGCCAGAGTAAGGCAATCCAGGGAATGAATCATCTGTCTTTTTTCGAGTACCGAACTGGTGGCCAGGTGGTGTCTTTAACACCGAGATGCTGGTGGGGCCAACCTACAAAAAGAGCCCCCTCGTATGGTCAAAAGATCCCTTTCCTTGGGATGAACGTAGGGATCAGCCCGTTGCCACGATCCTTAACCATATTGAGTCCTAAGGGAAGGATGATCCAATCGGCTGAACAAACGGAGTGACCATGTCACTTCTGGATCCGGCCTCTCGTTTTTTGGAGTTGGTAATGCTTCTTTGTTGGTAAGAGCAAAGTACAAGGAACACCACCATTTAGGGCAAATCCTAAAAAAGAAAGCAAGCCCATAACTGGCCCATATGTATCACAGACAGAGCCGTCGCCAGATTTTGCCAAGGCACTCCCTGCCCCAACGGGGCCATGTGTAGCTACTGCCACATGACGCACTCGGAACGCCGCACCACTTTGGACAAGAGGCGCGGCGTTTTGTTTTGGAATCCATGTCTCGCTGCTGTTGCCATGATTTTAGTTTTGTTTTTGGTTCTGTTTCCTTTAGGAAAAACCTGCAACAAAAACAATGCGTGTTGCCTAATTACCATACCAAGGGTTGGACAGGTGCCCCCCTGCGAACGAAATTCAAAAGAACAACGCACAGCACAGCATCTGTTTTGCTTGTTGGCAGCGAAGACGGTTGAACGACGAAGACGGTTGAATGACGCCATTTCGAACAAGACATTCAGCGGCGTGGTGTCAAGTTCCTGGTGTTGTTGTGAGGACCTTGTCCTTTGGTTGCCATTCCAGAGTAGCTATGTGAGGGTTACGAAGGGTCAAAATGACCATGATGCAGATTATTGGAAAAACACAAAATCATCTTTCTTCCAGGCTCCCTTGCAATTTGTATGGAAACGATAGGGAAGTTGCGAAAAACAGGTCCTGGACTCTTTGTTTTGACCGTTGTCACTATAAGATTCGTATCAGACGTGTGCAAAAACAAATCCAAACAAAGCCGAGACACATCCAGTAATGGGTCTCACCCCAATGAGTTGCTGGGCATTCTGCTTGTTGGGAAGACCATGTTAGTGGCCAAGAGCACGTTCACAGATTTGTCTGGTCAACTCACTCAGGATGTAAATCAGGTAGCCTTTAGTTGTGGTTTGGATTGGTGGTTTGTATTCGGATTTGGAGCCCTGGTTCTTGTAGAGGGAGACCCTCCGTTTCACCACCAAACCACCGGGCTCCAAATCACGCTTTTGAGTAAGCTAACTTCCTGTCGGCATCCTCTGGCTTGACCCAGCCACCAGGTCTCAATTCAACTCAGGAAGGGCGGGTAGAGAGGGCAGGCTCTCTTCCTTTTTTGTATAGCACCAACATTGTTGGGCAAGCCACGAAAGAGGTTGGCTGATGTTCCCAGATGCATGGTTGGCCCTTTCAAAGTGTAACCCGTTTCAATATATGCCAAGAAAGGCACAGACCTGGCGGCAACAAGAATTGACAGCAGTGAACTGGTGCCCTTTCACAGCTATGCATCTTGGAAATGAGTCAACGGTTGCGGGTTCGTCTCCAAGGGAACTCGCAAACAAAAATGGCTTCGGTCTCCGTTCCCCTTAAGGTGGAACCAGCATTCTTAGAAAAAGACCGCCCACCGTGACAGCATAACGGCAGGGAACGGACACCACGGCCAAAGGGAACGGAAGTCGGGTCAAGTCGCATACTGGGTATTCTTTGAAGGGTGACTACCCCTGTGGTTTTGTGGCGACAGAAAAGCTTGGAGTGTCCCCTAGAAGCGGGAGACCTGGGGAATGTGGTGCACTCGTTTTTGACTTTGCATTTTGAGATCTTGAGCAAGTTGTGCGCATGCTTTGCTGAGGGTGTTTGTAACTGTGAGATCCGAGTTTTCAGCGTCCTCATGAATAGCTGTTTTCCCATATTTAGCATTTTTATATGGCCCGTGCGAAAAGTCTTGCAGGGCAAGTGGGTGGCGAGGATATCGATGGAAAGCTAGCCTTCCAAGAAGCTGCGCAATCCGTTTCCCACAGGAGCGCGGGGCCTACATCGGAAGGGGAGGACAAACGGCTTTTGTCTTTTAATTCCCCCCCCTTCCTTGAAAGGATTGAACAGCCACTAGAACTCGAAAACAAGGCAATTTCACTTCTATTGGTTCGCAAGTTTTAAACTGCAAGGCTTTGAGCCTAATACGATGATAATTGGAATGCAAATTGAATTCTTATTTTGAACGAGAGTTTGAACTGGAATTATTTGGGTTTTAGTTAGGATTAGGTTATATCTTAGATAGAACTGATTGATGAAAGGCAAGCTGGTTGTTTCTTCTGACTTGCTTGCTCCGGAAGCGAGGTTTCAGTTTGATTGGGTTTAGATTGCAAGGCTCACATTGCAAGGCTTTGAGTTCAACTGGGATTTTAATTAGACGTCAATTCCAATTATTCTATTGGATTATATTTTATAGTAGCTTCTTTTTTTTTCAAGTACGTACGATTTTAATGTTGATTTAATTAAAATCAGTAGTTTGAAATGGATTGTAGCTGGGAATTCCTGGCCTAATATGGTCTCAATCAGAATTTAATTAGACTTTGCATGTTCTGTTAGTGTTGAAACAGGATTTTCTTTCCAAGTAGGATTGTTTAGTTAGGATTTAGTTATGCTTTAAGTAGAATTTTAGTAGAATCTAGTGCGGAAAGACACGCTGGTTATTTCTTCAAGTTAATGTCATTAGCATTCCTATTTTGTCACATCGTGATAAAACAAGCAACAGTCTTTCACCCGGAGCTGTTTCCCAAGGAGTTTCCAAATCATGCATTGTTTTGGTTTTTTGGTTTTGTTCTTTTGGTTTTCCTGGTTTTCTTTGTGGTTTTCTTGAGGTGATTTTAGTTTCTCCTATCTGTTTTGGGCTTTTCAAGATTGGTTACAGTTTGGCAGATGGCCAGCTTGACCTTGACCTACCGGGGCCGCTGTTCTGAGAAAAGAAACGCCCTGCTGTGTTGGAAGCATGGTCCGTATACGGCTGGGCCAGCTTGCTTGGGTTCGCTGATGTCGATGACCCCTAAAGCAAGTGGTTTTCCCTTTTTGTTTGGTGGGTTAAGGACGGACCCCCAACTCATCACTCCCAAAAAGAAGTGGCTCCGATTCTTTTAGCGGAGCGGTCACGTGCCACTTTTCTGACCAGTTGTTCAGCGGTCGCCTTTTTCCCTTTTTGGTTTGGCTTCCCCACCAAATATCCACCAAATATCCACCAAACACAGACTTCCTTTTTTCGACCTTTCGGGTCAAAGCGGTTGCCGCCGGTTGCCGCTAGCCAGCCCGCGCGCCAGGCAGCGGGAGTTCCTGAGGCGACTGGGGGAGCCCGATCTCATCACGATCCTGCTGCCGCACTTCCAAGCCAAGCTTGTGACTGGCAAGGCGACCTTCGACTCGTTTTGCGAATTCAAGTCTCGACGTTCGAACGTTCGGCCGCGTGTGCCCACCGGGTTCCGACTTTTTGTCGGGGCTTGGCGACGTTTTAGGAAGCCCAGCTCTGCGGGAACTTGGATAATAAGAACTTCTGCTAGAATGATTAGAACAAAACAATGTTCGAAGACCCAGGAAAAAAAAAAACAAAACAAAAACACCATTTGCTTTTGCGACTATGAAAAGATACTGGCGCACTGCAAAAGGAATCCCGGGTTGCTTCTCTTCTCCTATATACGTCCTGACTTGCTCAATGGGATCTTCTGAGGCCTAGAAGGTGGGACCCACCCCTTTGTTACCTATCATAGTGGCGTGCCTGGAACGATGGGGCAACGATCCCACCAACAACTTTTGACTCAAACGGTGGTTTCAATTGGTTTAACACACCAACAAAAAAGCGTTTGATCAGAGCTTCCATTGGGATTCTCATTGCGCACCGGGGTTCCCATTCCTTTAGGGTTCAACCTGAGAGTGCCATTTTCTGTGGAGAGAGACAATTTGTTTTGCACCAGTTGGGGCAGCTGCTGCGAGCCCATGGGTTGTGAAGGGGGTTCGATCCCAGGACCCAGCCAACCCCCACAAGCGAGCGAGCTGAGCGAACTGAGCGAGGTGCCGGGCGCGGCGGTGGAGGTGATCCGATTCCTGGAGCGCCGGAAGGGCCACTCCTTCCTCGAGGCGGGGTGTGAAGTCGGGGTGTGATCGAGTGAGTGGGGGTGGAGTGGGCGGGGTGGGTGGGGTGGGGTGGGTGGGCGGGTGGGTGAGTGAGTGGCGTGGGTGGCAGTGGGTGGTTGAATCGGTCGAATCGGGGAAAAGGGGAAGCGCAGTCGGAGGTCAAGGGGTTGGTGCTTATGCCCTTCCAGTTGCTGAAGTGCACATATGTTGTTTTTGTTCCCCGGACGAAATGCACATGGTTTTTGTTTTCCCCTGGTGTAAAAGGGAATCACTACTGGACAAATGTTGATTTTTTCAGGGGACTTAAGCAAATGGAGGTTCCTCTGATGTAGTCACTTTTGGGGTTACCATTTGAGTGGTGAACAGAAAGTCCATTCCCCTGAGTCTCTGTATTTCACGTGGTGTTTTTTTAACAATGCACCCGAGGTTAAATTATGTCGAGACAGGTCTTGTTGACTGCACAATTTTTCAAGTGGGTTGCCCATACTGTGGGTGGACAAAATCCGTTCGCACCGCTTTCAAAACCATGGTTGAAACCGTTGTTCATTGGTAGTTGCAGGGGAATCGGATCATTTTTCGGGTTTCTTAGCGTCTTAGGTGGTGCGGTTCTGGATTTCGCGTCCATCCACAGGCACGTGCCTGGAATTTAATCACGGGATGGGTCCTTAGTCCAACTCCTGAGCGGTCTGTAAGGCTCCAGACAGCCTGGATGCAGTTCTCGGGCAGATGAGCTCCTTGGCGTGAGGTCTGTGTTTGCTGAAAAGCGAATATCGAGTTCGTCTTTTTCCAGGGCACCCCTGTTTTGGACGCTGAAAAGGAAAGGCAGCTGCTTTAAGGGACCTATATGGGTGGCCGGTCTTTCTTTTTAGGGTACCTTGTTTGGTTTGGGTTTCAAAGGGGCACAAGGAAAGCCGCCATTTTGGAGGGGGTCTTACTGTCCCCATGGCTTCCAAGGGAGTCCATCGGTGGAACTGTGTGTGTGTGTGTGTGTATTCTGTCCAGACTTGAGCAAATGGAGTCCTCCAAGGCTCTTTAAGACGACCGTATTGGGCTTGTCCTTGGCCATAGAACCTTACTTGTCTCCAGGCTCCGGCAATGTCAGTGCACGATGAGCAACCCCCTGCCAGATTCCCATCAACAGTAAAGCAAGGGGACAACAAGGCCTGCCCAAAAAACCTCCCGGTTAAAGGTACTCCCGTGACAAAAAGGGGGGTTCATTTTTGCTTCGTATTAGTTTGCACTCAGACCCACCAATACCAAGCCACTATTCAACCACTCAAGGTTTCCTAACTATGTGCTTCCCCAGAATGCATTTTTCTTACTACAGTCTAGTTTGTTTAAAATGACAAGGTGTTCAATTGCCAGAAGGTACCAAGAAGGCAAGGACCGAAGAGGTTCTCTAGATTGCTGCGTCCAGCTGCTTTAGATGGACTTCATTCCATTTGCAAGGGCCATCGATTTGTCCAAAGGCCACCTATGCCTTCAACTGTTCTTGAATCATGTGAATTGACAAGCCAGACTGTTTGCACGGGAAACAGCCACCAAGGATGGAGGGGAACTAACTGGGCCGAGCAGCCAATTACTCAACAAGTCATGGTTGCGGACATTTTCTTGAAAGACCACTTTTCGGCGATATCAAACAAATCCCCTTTAACGTGATTAAATGGTCATTGGGAATGATCCACATTGGTATCACAGAAAGGGTGATTTCCCACCTTTCCTTTGCCTTGTGATCAGGGAAATTTGTGCTGGCTGTGGTACTTGTCCCGAACAAGTACTCGGGCTTCCGTATTTTGGTGGGCTTTGAAGGCAAGCCAAAAGGAAACCAAGCATTTTGGGTCTCCGGATTTTGAGACAAGCCCATGTACTGTGTACCCCTATATCCCCAGTGTCCCTTTCTGTAGCCTTTTTTGCTCCATGTGTATCGCATTCTTGCCTCATTCTCATGGAAGGTTCCCCATTGGAAAAAAGAATGGCTTCTTTCGGTTTGGGTCGCGGATTGCGGGGCCAACTTTCAACGAAGACAGGCGCAACACACTCCTTAAGGCAGAAGCACCAGTCCCGGAATCGTCCAGCTTGGATTGATTTGTTGGATAACTGTTGGGAACACATACAAGAGCGACCAACTTTTGAGGCAGGGCAGGATAAGCCAATTGCCCAGGGTGTCGGGAAAGATCTTGGGAGTCGAGCAGCGGGCAAGACGTCTTCAATCCAATTCCCCTTCCTGATGCTGTTTAAGCAATGGTCTAAACACAGTGCTTCCATGTGCGCTTGCCGCTGACAAAAGTTGGTAAGGCAATGTTGCCTCTAGGCTGTACTTGATCGTTTCCCCGGGTTACCCAATAGAATGCTACTGGAAGAACTATGTTCACACATTTGGCCCAGAATTCAGGCTTCTCCTGGCTGGTCAGCCTTCTTCCGTTCAACAAAGAGCCGGAGTTTGCACAGTGCCTGAGCCATCTGCAATTCGCCTACGCGACTGGCGCGTGAGCAGAGAAAACAATCACCGCACCACAACCAAAAAGCAAGGCATGAGCCACCATCAAAACAAGAGAAGGCAGAGGAAAAAAGTCCCGACCGCCATAACAGGGGCAGGTTTGCACCCTTTTGATTCTTTACATTTGGGCAGAGGCCCTACCAGGTTTTGACAAATATGACACATGCGATGGGCTGAAAGCAAGAGGCCAAGCTTCGCAACCCGCTGGCCCTTCAACACTTGCGTCCATGGGGAATCCAGCAGGGGTCTTAGGAATGAACCCAGGGACCCCCCTAGCAACAGGGATGGTTTGAAAGAGGTCATTGCCTCATTCCGAGCCGAGAACCAGCAAGCAAACTTAAGCAAAGCAGCATGACTCCCTGTCATTGCTGTTGGCTTTCATGGTTTCCTTTCATGGAATCCTCTGCTTATACGCGCCGTCGCAACGCACGCGGACAGCGCCGTGGAAGAGGATCAGGATCGATTGCGTCGGTATAAGCTTCGAGGGGCCGGAACTGTTCGGCGGGGCGTGCCGTGACGAAACAAAATCACCGTGCTTTTGTCTTTGTTCTTCTGTTTAGAGTGCCAAACCCACTTTTCTGGATCTGACCTAAAGGAAAGCACAAATAGATGAAACGGCTTTGGTTTAAGCATTTTCCATTGTGACCATGAATAGACGATTGCATTGTTTGAGGCAAATTAAGCGGAGCTGATCTCGGAAGGGATTCCTTTTTGCTTTCTTATGCATTCGCGTAGTTTCCCCAGATAGTTTGATTGCAGCTGGAGTTGGGCCATTCCGGTGACCGGGGTCTTTGGGCTCTGGAAAAGCCTCCTGAAGCTTGGGGTAGACGTTCTCAAAGTCTGGACACCTTGCCAGAGTGGTAAACAAACCGTGGCTTCCTGTCCGGTTCAATCCACGGAAAGTAGATGGTTAAAGCAGCGCGCTTGGATCCGAGCAAAATTGCGCGAGGTCTAAACGGAAATCCTCAACTTGTTGCTTTAGGACCTACCGTTTTTCCAACTTCTTGAGTGCATCTCATGTCATTGTTGGCAAGCCTCGGTACCAACTTCAACCTTTGTATGGCTATGTTTGTGTACTCTGGACGGACGAAATCCATGTTGCACCTCTTAGATGAAACCCTATGATGGGAATAAGCTACCTACCAAGTGGTGCGAAGTGGATTTTGTCAATCCACAGCTTCTGTTCTTCAGTGTATCAAGTTCTGTCTATGGGTCGATGCCCAACCAAGTGCCTCAATAAGGGGCCAGAATACATGTCGACTGCTATTTAGTTGCATCTTCAACCTTTAGCTTTTTGGGACAACATCTTTTTCCCTACAAACCCAAAGTTTTTTTTTTTTGAAAACAAATACAGTGGGGAACGCAGGCAGAATTCTCCAGCCGGGACCCTCACCACAGTTTTCAGCTGTGTGCAGCCGAACCAAACACCGGCGCACAGGAAGAGGAACATTTCTCAGCTGCGGGAAGGGCAATGAGCGTATTTTTTGGTCGAACACATGTGGAGACCCCCCCCCTTTCCCGCCCTCCCAAAGCGGTTTTGTTGTTGCCCCTTGGAGGTGCGTCGAACCCCGATTGGCAAGCTTCAAGCGAATCTCCGATTTGGAGGATCGGCCCGTAGATTCCTGGAGCCCTTTCTGCCTTCCCAGAAGGATAAGACATGCAGAACGGGCTGCATTGGATTCAGTGGTCGAGGCAAACCCTTAAAGAAGTTGTCCAGTAGTTTTGTGGGGTCTCCAAATTTAGGAACTGTATTTTAGGGTAGGCTCTATATTAGCACCGACATCTGATATGATTTTTGATGTACTCCTGTCAAATCAAAGGAGTCCAAAGCCAAGGGGATGATGATTCTGTGAGGTCAATCGCTCGGTGAAGGGAGTCAGTAGAGATTCCGGGCATCTCCTCCAAGACTATTGTATATTTTAGGGTAGACTGCAACGGTATTATAACTATGAAACAGCATCTGGACCTACAATGTTCGGTGTACCCCAGATGTGGGCCATAAAGTCACGAGCAGTAGCGAATCAATTTTCAAGTAGTGGTTCGGCCTCGAGGGGGCCCTAAAACAGGATGGACTTGTGAATCGTCCCTCGGAGTACGGGAGTAGGCGGAGCTAACAGACAGCTCGCTGCCCTTGCACACGCCCCCGGCCATCGTTCGCAAAAGAGAATCTCAAAAGCCCTAGGGGTCAACTCCAAATCCGGCAGTTCACCCACGTGACAAAAGTAGAATTCCTTAGGTAAACAATGGTGGATATATGGCTGTTGGTCAAAACCGTTTTGGTACCATTTGCGGTAGGTGAATTCGCCACCCATGTTTGAACCGATTTTAGTGGTTGGATTGGGATGTTCACTGGGGGTACGGAATTTTTGAACTTTTCATTGATGGATTGAATCCCGGGCCTTGAGCCTGTTGTTGAGCTTCCTTTTGCAGGGTTTTTCAGGGGAAACCACACTCGGAACATACCTTACCTCTTAAAAACACAACTTTTCAACTTTTTGGGGGTAACATGGGCTATATTAATATTATATGTCTGTAAAAGATTAACTTCCCCAGGGCTTGGAGTTTTAAGGGGTAAGATACCTAACATTTCTGCCTCCCATGGGCTCTTTGGGACATGGCAATTGTTTTGCCGCTGGGTCATACTGTGGATGGTTGCGACATCCGTTTTGGAACCATGGGAACCCATTTACTGCCATTTGTCCAAGGATATGTGTTATTTTGCCCTGTTGGTTTTAAAAGGAATCGATCACTACTGGAAATATTTGTTTTTCCCGGGGGCTTTAAGCAGGAAGTTTATTTACGGGGGAATCATCGTTCCAAGGTTTCTGAGGTGCAGGAATGACAGTATGTTCTGAGTGGTTTAGACATCGTTTTTGGGGCCCATCTCAATTGAAGATATTTTGGTGTTATTTGCAAGGGACGAGCAAGGAAGCTTAGTCGCTCTCCCACTTGAGGAACTGAAAGTGACTCGACGAACTGGGGAATTTGAGACAGTCAGAATTCCCCGACTTCCTGGACTTTAGTTCAAACCAAGAATAGTTTCGACATTTTTGGGCAGTTCACTTAGTGAGAGAATCTTAAGCGAGAGAATCTTTAGCTTTCTTCCCACTTTGCTGGACTTGTTGACATCGTTTGAGTGAACCAACTGTTTGGGGTGCTTTGTTTGCCAATCCACTGAAGCGGGGTCAAACCTCCCCAACCCCCACCAAGCAAGTCCAATCAAAACTTCCCCCCAAACCTTCCCCAACCCTTCCAAAAGAAGAGCAAAGCGCGGCGGATATTTTCCGGGTCAGGGGGCCGTTTGCGAGGGCATGGTTTTTCGAACACGTCTCGGGATCGCTCTCTCCCGAAATTCGGGTGCGCAGTTGAGGGCCAACAGAAACCGCGGCCAGTCTGCGGGAGCCGTACCCCTAGGGTCTCCCCCTAGGGAGAGTAAAGCGATTTGTTGCATTTATTTGTTACACGAAAGATCTTGGTGGTTTCCAGCCATCCGGTACCGTAGCTTTTTAGGTGTTTAGCGTTTAGTGGGGTTGCCATTTGACCCGCTGAAAGTTAAACTTTTGGAGAGGATCCGAGGACTGGCCAGATATATGAAACAGAATCAATCTGACATGTCTGATAAGCAAACCAAACCCCTTTACCACACTTACAACCGTGATTGATTGCTACTTGCTCAGTGGGTTGGACACCCAAGTAGGTTAGTTTGGTAGGGTTGCAGGGTCAAGCACTGTCGTCATGTGCTACGGGGGGACACATGCTACTAAACAGCATATGAGGATTGGTCGACCTATCACTATGATCCAACTGGGAGGGAAGAGCAGAGGGCACTCACTAAACATGTCTGATCTTTGGTGTGGAAACGACTGGCTTTGCCATTCAATGAAAATCCCGCAAGACATTTGGCGGCTCACCAAGTTGCCTCTGCTATAAAGAACCTCATATTCAGACCGCGAATGCTTTCTTTCCGCAACATGTTGAGTATATACTGTTTTCATACGGGTAGTACACGCAAAGGACCGAACAAGAGCCGAGCAAGAATGGCCATGCGGCCGAATATGGCGAAATAAGGGGTTTGCCCGAGGAGAACGGGGCGAGGTTGGGTTTCCCCTCCGTACATTGAAAGGGATATTGCCTCCTTGGCTCCATGGCAAGGAACGTTGTTAACGTTCTAAGGCTTGAGCCACTTTTGGGTTTGGTCCATTTTAGCGGTAAACTCACTTCCTGAGTTCATGAACTTTAAACTTTTTGGGAAGACCATTTTAGTGGTAATTGTAAAGTTTGAACTTTTTTTGGGCCATCCACTCATCCATTTTAGCGGCAAACAACGGTTCGGTTAGTTTGTTTTGCCCATCAACTCGATCGGGAGCGAGAAGGGGGTTTCAACAAGTCATGTTTCATCCTCTTTCTTTGAATGCTCGACCCGGGTTGCAGGCTTGAAAGGGAACCCCGGGTCGACCTTTTTTGCTGAGAACATGACTTTGGTTAAGAGCCTCTTCCCTTGGAGCCATTTGGGATGGGACACTCAACTTCCTCCGAAAACATTTGGGTGTGTCATGTTTTTTAGGAGACCCCCCAACATGGCATCGGTTTTCCTTTTGGTTTCCCTGTGAAACCGCAACAAAAAAGCAAGGTACCAACTCAAAAAAAGACAGACACATCTGCAATCCAACACGCAGAGTGGCCGACGGTTCGATTTGTCGTGGGTTTTGGGGCTTCCCCAGTGACATCTGCAGGTAGTAACGGGCCTGGGGTCCACTCGGGACCGATCGGCGGCGGAGGCTTTGAGTTACTTAAGGGGCCAGAAAAATCAGGCGAAGGAAGACCACATCCCTGACCTCCAATTCAGTTCTTGAGTTCTTGAGTTTCATGGACTTTAGTCACTTGTTTGGTTCGGTAAACAAGCAGTTTAGACTTTTCCCGGCCAATCCACTCAGCAGGCGAGCGGATTACTTGAATGGTGACCCCCTGTTCATGTTGTTTTTGCATTTTGTTTTCTTCACAGAATTGTTTCTTTGCTTTGGCCACGGTTTGTTTTGCCGAGCTCTTCTAAGTGGGAGACTGGGCGACTTCCAAGGGACGTCACTTGAGATTCGCCTGGAGTTGTTTTTCTTTACGCAACAAAAAACAACGGCAGGCGTCAACAGTTTCACATCCCGGAGCAATACCATGTTCTTCCACCAGGACCCCAATGGCTATTAGAAGGGTTGTTTCCGTCTTTGGGTCATGAGAAGTTAAGTGCATGGCGTTACTCTAAGCGCCTAAAATACAACTCGAATTTGTTGTGGGATACTTTGAAGCCAAGTTAAGTCATATCACCCGAGATACTGTTTTCTTTGATTTAATATGTTGTAATTAGTTAGTCCCCTTATAACTATGGATATCCACGCCCCGGGACTGCTGGGGAAGACCACTACAAAGGTGGGGGGGGGTCTGCTGAGATGAAGTTGAGTTTGATTTGGGCTCGTAAGTCAGCGCTCCTCAGTATGTTATCCTTTGACTAGGTCCCCCAGCGAGGTGCCCTTTTTAACCCCTTTCTTGGGGGAGGGTTCCCCTAATAAAATAGACTACAGAAAAAACGGTAGCCTTGTTCTAACCTCTCTACTGGAGGATCTAGTTGATCTCTGGGCACTGCGCTTCGGCCTTGTTACAAGTCATAGCCCCGCCCAACGCCGGCATAGAGCCGTTTTCCGCGACCCGGCGCTTGGCGCACCGGCTGGACGGTGCGTTGTCCATATGCAGCGTGCTCGCACACCCAGTGGGTTTTCTCGCAGAAGTTCAGAGAGCGTGTGTTTGACAACAAATTCAATGGGCCCTGTGGTCAGATCCCCAAGATTTCCTTCGGTAGGCCCCGAAGCTCCACCAGATATCCCCAGTGCCCCTGATATGGGTGTTTCCAGAAGTGCGAAGCCTAACATCTACACGGGCTCTCAATTGTTGGACACGGATATCAATACTGGCTGACTAGCTCTGCTGCGGCTCATGTGACTTCTATGAAACTATTTGCTCGGCACGTGGGAATCTTCAGCTAGGTTCGGCCTTCACTGGAACGAGACTCTGAAGGTTGCTTTGGGGTCCTTGGGGTTTCCTGATCCAGAGCAGCTATGTGAATTCCCCACCGAACCAGAAGCCCTGACTTTTGTAAAGGGGTGTCCCCTTTTAGTGGGGTTCACAGGGAGCAGCCTATGAACACGGGTTCATTCATCCGGGAACCCACACCCACGGGCTTCACTTCCTATCATTTGAAGACCGAGCTCGCGCGATCATCACGATCCTGAGAAACTTGGCTGAGTCGTAAGCCCCAAAAACCATCATCTTGGGGTTGGAACTTCCTGTTGGGGTCGGGGCCCTTTGCGGGTTCAATCCGCCTTATGTGTTTCATGCTCATGTGCTACCAGTTTTTTTCCTTGGTTCTTTTCTGGGGTGCTTGTAGCATGCGCTCTCCATATCTCGCCTCGCATGCCTCCGGCCAGCCGAGCTTTGAAGGGAAAGTGAAGGGTGATCAAAGACTTCGCGGTTCTTGGCATGTGGCTTTCTGTTACTTGTATGTCTGTGATTTTGTATTTGTGGCTTTGTTGGTTTGCTTGGATCTGTGTCGATTTGTGTTCTTGGGTTGTGCTCATCTTTACCGGAGGGTTCTGTTCTGTGGGATTGTGTCGATTTGTGTTGACCGGAGGGTCTGTGTCGATTTGTGTTCTGTGCGAGTTAGTTCACATTGTGCTTCGTTGTGTCTGTGTTTGTTAGGTTCTCTTCATGTTTCGTGGAGGGCTGCCAGACACCCAGTAGGTGTCTCATTCTTTTCCGGAGGGAAATTTTGGTGACCGACACAAAACAAGAACGAAACCTTTGCCAGACTTGTTCAACTTGTTGCCTTTTTTTTTGCTTCATGTCCCCGTACCAGCAAAGATGGAGGGCATGTTCATCCAGTCGGATTCGTCGTTTGGAACATGAACACTGCCCTTTTAGGTTTTCTGGGGTTATGGCTGTTTTTGGCCAAACCGAATCCCCCCCCCCCCATTTGAGACCCTTTGGGTACACCAATGGCTTTTCAACACCTACAGGTCGATCACGAGGTTTCATGATACTGTGGATGGAGGAAATCCGCTTCGCACCACTGGAAACCATGGTTGAAACCATTGCTGGCTGGTATTTCCAGGGGAAAGGAATCATTCAATTGTTTCTTAGATGGTGCAGCAAAAACAATTTGCGACCTCACCAAGGTTTTGGTCTGTGACCCGGGGCCCCATCATGAAGCCTGGAACGGACCATTTCTTTTTGTCCAACAGACTCACAAGCAAGCGGTAGAAAGGCAGAACTGGGGTCTGCTCAGAAAACAATTTTTGTTGAAACAAAGCACAACTTAATTTGCCTAAAGATGAAGCAGAGTCAGAGAACGTGATTCTCCCGTGTACCCCAGCTATGGGCCAAAACAGGATGGTAGTCAGGCCACTGTGCGGACTGATGGACGGCAATATTTTGAACAGGGCATTCGCATCCACATTTGTTGGCTGATAGATGTGGTTATGAATATTAAAGTTGGAACCACCTCAGACGTACTCCATCTTGAATGTTTTGGGAATGTGCTTTCTCGCTACCAGTGAAACGATTCCCGCATTTAAGGGTCAAGCTCATTGAGTGTCTCCGTGAGAAAGACATTTGTTATTTTTTCTTGCTTCTTGGGACCGGGGACCCAATCTTGGACAGTTTTTTTTTCAGGGGAGAGGTCGGCACGTGGGCAAAGTTTTCCATTGCAAAGGGGGCTGGTCAGAGTCATGCGAGAGGCTCGTCAGAGCAGAGCGCGCCGTTCCAGAGGAAAAGATGGGGGCTGGGGGGGCTGGGCAAAAATATGGGCCCTGGTTTGGATCTCCTTTGCCTTGTACCCTTCGAAGGGGTGCCTCATTTTGGCAACCCTTGTTCAAATGGTCAACATAGGGGCCCTTTTGGGCAACCCCTTTGTGGGCAATATTTTGGACACCCCCTTTTTGCAGGGCCCCTTGAAGAATACACTTGGGCCAGTTAGGAGGATTTCCATGTCGAGTTGTCTTTTGGATATGTCCTGGGCCCTGTTTCGATGGGTTTGGGATTTTGTTCTGGAAGGGTCTTTGATCTATGACACTAAGTTGCATGGTTCAGATTGGGGTTCCAACTCACATGCTGAGAACCATCACAGTAGCACAGGACACCATAAACCGAAGGCAAAACCCGTGTACCCTACTGCTTCAGTTGGCCCCAAATTGGGCATCGGAGTTTCCGATTGGGACCCGGAGCCTGGGGTCTCCCCCGAAACTAGTTGATGTGGGATAGATACGGAGCGGAGTCAGGAGAATGTGTTTGTTTTTGGTGTGTGTTTTTTTTCTTCCTTTTTTATGACCCTATCCTGAGTGTCAGTCTATTAGTCTATGTTGACCCAACCTCTCGTTGGGGTCGGGGGCACCGGGTGTCATAGGACCGGATCGAGGTAGAACCATGTTGGTCAATCGATCTGTGTGGTTTTTGCAAAGCAAGAGGCGTTGTTTTCCTGGAAACCCAGTTTTGGTGGGGTGTTGTTTTCCAGCAACCCAATGGCTGTCCAATGCTTGGTCAAGTGACCTGGCTATTTTGGGTGGCTCATTTTGACAGCCATGAGGCGCCTGGCTCTTGTATCTCCCCTGAGTCCTGCTCCCTTTGGCCCAATATGGGAGAACGCGCATTTGAGCCCTCAAAAGCAAGCGCCTATTGGCCTCCACGCCCAAATCGGTCCCTCAATGCGGCTTGATGTGGAAATCCCGCTCGCAACGCAGCTTTTCAGCGCGAGAGTCTGTTTTCCCAGCTGGTAGTTTTAGAGGCGCACGGAACCGGTCGATTGGCGGTCTAACTGCCTAGCCTATGGCCCATGTGCAAGGGACACGGGGGAAATCACTAAAGTTTCCACAAGAAACCAGTCGACTCACCATGTTTCACATGTGGCAATGGCTCAAAATTAAAGAGCTAGGGGCAAACCGCAGGTTTTGGTCCATGTTTCCACTTAACGATCGGGCAACCCATTTTGGAATTCCGGTTTTTTGGGCCACAGCCATGTCCTCTCCTCAGCGCAATAGTCAAATGGCCCACTTGACTGGCAGTCCACAGGTTGAGACTGCTGGATGCCAGTATCAGATTATCAGCAACCAAAAAGGGAGGTATCAACCCTCAAAGTCCACGCTTTGGCGCATTTTGCCAAGGGATGTTAGGGCTGAATAACTTTTGGCCAACTTTTTGGCTTTTCCACTCAACCACTAAAAGTGAAACCTTTCGCAGGGAGCAGAAAGCAATCGAGAACAAACACGTGTTTTCCTTCAAAGAGCACTTTGAAAGGGTGTGAGAGTTGACATCGATGCCCGGTGCCCTTAGATGAGTTGCAATCCTGAGGAAGAACAGTCCCCGATGCGTCCGTCTTTGATCCAAACCCAACCCCTTTGTTCCAAGCTCTCTATGTTGACCTCCTTTTCGCCACTTGCTTTGGCCGAAAGGCAATGAAGTTCCCCCGGGTTTCTGCCTAGACCAGTGGCAACCATGTTTCCAACTTTTTCCCAGCGAAAGTCTCCCAAGAAATAGCTACCCAGACGTGCCAGCCGCGCACACCCCTCTGCAGGGAGAACTCAATTGGGGGCATCTGGTGCTTTTTTGTTCCCACGGCCACTCCGGTTGGCAGTTGAGGAAGAGAAGGTGATTTGACGTTGAGAAAACAGCGGCGGATCAAAGTGAGCAACAACTGGGTCAAGGATTGGTATTTGCATCTTACATCCTTGCCTTTCTAAAACAGACATGTTGGCTTGCATGAATACACCAGTTTGGCTCACGACTTGTGGCAACCCCTTTTTCTGACGTGCATGGTCCTCACTTAGTTTCCGATGACTGAAATGATGAACCAAGGAAAAATCTAGATCCTATGAGGTCGAAGGCAACTATGGGAGATTTCCGGCCGGGCACCGGCCGCTGGGATCCCACCCATTTCAACCATTTGGTTTCGGTCTCTCCACTGGCTATTTGTGATTTTCCCGGCAAGTTATTGTGGGAACTCAAGGGCTTGCCACCCTCAAACGAACAGGAATTTGGATCCAAGGGCTACCTGGGCTGCCGATAGTGGCTTGCCACGCCTGGGATCTGGGATGGTCGATGAAAAATTACCCCCTTTGCCAGTCACTGAGCCGAAGAACCTTGGTTTGGGGTGAACTGAGCCTCTACGGCTCCGAGATACATGGCAGCCAGCGGATCGATCACTTTGCCAAGCTGAGGATCTCCTTTTTGAGGCATGAGATGTTTGAATCTGCAGATTATGGCATGGAGCGTATCCCTTTTTCCTCGGAGCAAACATTCAAAAACTTTCCTGGAAGCTGGGAGAAAACACCCGCAGCTTCTCTTGGGGGAACGAGTCCTCTTTTTGGGCTCTGTGTCAATTGTGGGATCCATATGGGTGTCTTAAAATAAGGGCACCCCAGAATGATGGTTTTCCTTTTTGTTTCCCTTTAAATCCGAAACAAAAAACAGTAAAAACAGTACCCTCAGACAAAGACCCCCATATACCTTCGAAGGCGGCCGAAGGAACCACCCAACACCCAAAACGCAAATTGCGGGAGTTGGATTCGCCAACCCTCCATCTTGAACAGCCAAGTGTGAGGTGTAAATTTAGTGCAGCTTCTTTCTAATTGGTGCTTTTGTTTGGTGGTTTGGACGTTAGGGGCTGCCTTCCCCATTTGGTTTCATAAGGAACTAGGGTTTGCATCCCAAGTCACCACTGTGAACCCCAGCCAGGTCCAGGGTTTTGGGAACAAGGGTTTCATTCCTACTTCATGTTTCTGGGCGTATATGGGGGGGGGGGGTGTCAGTTAATTAGTCTTTGGGAGGCCCTTTTTGTTGTATCACAGTGGTCATTTGGCTGTGGGTCAACACCAATGGGATCCCATGTTGGTTGGTAGGTGAATTCGCCACCCATTTTACTCTATTTCAGTTGAGATTGGGGTGCTCACTGCGGGTACGATTTGGCTTTTGACATCATTTCCCACGGCCCATTTCGAACCTTCCGTTGGTGTCGAGGCCTTCCAACCATGGCGCGTCGGACAGCCCGGTGGCCGAGGTAAAAGGGAGACGGCGTCGTGTGAAAGCTCGGACGGGTCTCCCAGATGGTTTTATAAGGTGGACGAATACATGAAATAATGAGTTTCAATGTAGGCAAACTATGGGGCATGGTGAAGGAAAGCAAGGTTTTGCTCTACCCTCAGATTGGGGCTCCCGGATCTGGGTCAATTTTAACGACCCATTCGGGGCTGGAACGAGCGTACCCAAAGGCTCCTTACGTAAGTGTTCGTCCAGATCTGAACATTTCAAAGAAGAGCACGGAACTTCCACCTGTTAGCTAGCCCGTCTTCAGTTCCAAAAACTTGGCCTGTTCATGTTCATTCCATAGGGACCATTGATATGGTCGGCGACAACAGCTGAGGCAGTTTTGGGTGTGCCAATGCTAAACCCCAAATCAACATGGAAGTTATCATTACTTGCTGGATGGGTCCAAACCAAGAGCGAGATTGCCCTGGGTAGATGCACGTTCGGGTACCGTTCAATGGATAGGTGCAGTAATAATCAACTCGGTGAGAATGGTTCTGTCGAAACTGCATGAGGGAAGGCATTGGCCCCAGCTCGGCTTGTTATATATGCATATTGTCAGCTCACTTTAAGTCGAGACTCCAGTTTCATTAGGCAACTGAGTACATATCCCAGAGTAAGAATCCGAGAGGCAACAGCATGTCGGCTTGTTTTTACATTATCAGCAATGGATACAACTTCCTTTGTTGTGTGGCTGTGTTGTAATCTATTTTATCAATCACAGGTGTATACACAGATGGAGATATCCATGGATATTCAAACCACGTCGAACGTCGGGCGGTGCAGGTTGCGCAGCTGGATGTGGAATTTATGGAATGTTATTTCGTCAATGCGGTTAACCTTCTGCTTCATATCACACAAATGCCCATAGGTGTCTGTTTTAATTGTTTGGGTCAAAAATAGATGGCCCTGGTTTGCCTGGTGGTTTAATCATCTACCAGGGCCCTCTATTTCCCCCAAAAGGACACCTATGCTAATGCCATATATATATATATTGTGTACGTACTTTCCCAGCTATAGCAAACAATCTACTGATTTCGCTTCTATACGACATACATTGGTCTCGAAACTATCCGACCGTCCGCATCGAAGATAAAATCAAGCCTGAGACAACCTACCTTCAAAATAGGCAAATACACGAACAATCCCTCATTGGTGGTTTGGATTAGTTGTTGTGATGCAGTTTGTTTGCCGAGTTGCTCTGTCTTGACGGACCATTGAGTGTGTCTGAGGGTCACACGAGATGCTCCGCGGTTGCTTTGGGGGATATTTGAACCGATGTGGCGGGTACATGTGAAGATTCGGCATTCAATTCAGCCTCCTTGTTGGCCAGTTTTAAGTGAGCTTCCTAGGCTGATGTTCAAAGGTGACATATCGGGAAGGCCCCAATCAACATGCCCCAATGGGTCGCTTATTTGTTCTTCTTTTCCAGACCGACTACATTGGGCACCCGGAAACAAGACACAATGGGCCCCTTTTGATTTGGTCTTTACCTCGCGGCAAGGCGAATGTTTACTGGGGCTTTTGACCCCCCAACAAAAAGACAGGAAGGCGGAACGAGGAATCGGTCCATATGGATTAATTACTCGTATACCCTTCGATCCATTTTCCTTCGGACTTTGTAAAGGGTGGCAAAGCTCTTGGTTACCTGTACAGGTAAATGGGTGTGGTTCTGAAATAGGATGCCCCCTCAAAAATGTGGATGTTTTTTTTGCATTTTGTGGCTTTCCTTTTTAACCCCTAAAAAATGCGGATTTCCTTTTGGCTTTCCTTTTTGACCAACCCCAAAAAGGGTTACCTATAGCGGCTGCCTGGAATGCCCCGAGGGTTGAACATCCAAGCGCGCCTGGGCCATGAAACCGGGGCAAAAACCGTGGAAGATCTGACGACCAAAAGCTTGCCTTTGCTTATTGGAGCTACAATGAAAACCCCGGATGAATAAGCCCCTGGTTGATTAACAAGGGGGGTGTCCCCTTTTAGTGGGGATTCATCACTTTGGAGGGAACACCCCCCTAGTAATGGGACGGGGTTATGAATGCTGGGTCAACGTGAACCAAAACCCGGGTAAGTGGAGGTTAGTACGGGACAGTCCCAACCAGAATTAGGTACGGCCGCCTGTGTAGTTCTTTGTATTGGTTTGGGTAGACCACCTCAATACCAAGTTGTGATTGTGACTCATTTGGCTGTGAATTTCGAGTGAAAGTGCTTGGACATAGCCCCCCTCCATCATACCCACCAAAGGGTCCGCGATCCATCAAAGGCCACACCCATATAGGGATGCCTTTTTTGAGGGCAGCCCTTGCTTTGTGGTCCTTGTAAGGGTTGATTCCCCATTCTTTTCAGCCGTCCTTCTTTTCAACAACCAGATCCGCTTCCCCTTGGTTTTTGGTGGTTTTCTAGAAAGACTCGGATCCGTGGGTTCAGAATGGAAAGGGAAGTTACCCCAGCCCTGGGAAATCAAAGACGAAAGCCATGGGGGTCCGTCACAAGCTGGGCTCCGAGGCACTTCCTGGCCTCATGGCAGTCCTGGCACTGCTTTGCGCCACACAGGCGCCGTCTCGCGCGAGAAAGTTGGGTCTGTTTGGCCCAACCCTCAGGCTTGAAAATCGTGGCATCTGGGGGTAGACTTAGGAGACATGTTTTCCATTTTATCGGTGACTCCATGTGAAGCAAACAATAAAATATACATTCTAGAACCGGGCCCAACTCTCATCATGGTATATTGAAGCCCAACTTTTTGGCCCAACTGTTTGGACCAACGGGGTAGACGAAAAGTCATAGACCTGGAGCACGGGGACAGACCACGACCTGGACAGATTTGGTACAAAACTGTAGCTGGAAAGCTTCGAATAACTTGGGCAAATGCCTTGATGGGTTGACATTATACTCCACAAGTGGGGCTCCCAGAATTCATGGGTGATCTGTGGGGGCTACGAACAAGCTCATGGAAACCGCGGTGTTTGAGTCTTTTCGGGGGTGCAAGGCTCGCTTCAGGTTCCAAACGTAACCTGACGCGTCCGCTTCGCTGGAGGAATCAGCCAGTTTCGCGATCCAAAGTGGGGGGAGGGAGGGGGAGGGGGAGGGAGCCCTTATGAAGCCCTTGTTAAGGCCGAGCCCGCATGAAGTTTCATATGTGGGCTTCCAAAAGTTATTGGTATCCGTTCTTTGCTGCTAATGTGAACGGGGAAGCCAAAGGGAAGACACAGCTGCGGATTCACATATTATGCGTTTGCGGTGCCCAGAAATAGATACGTTTCAGTGTCAAAGGTTGCTTAGTGCCGGCCTGGCTGGGTCGGTCAGCTACGGAGCTACTGAAAATACATACCAGTTGCCCACTTCAGATGTTCGATTGTTGTTTTTGGTGGATGATTTCAAGGGAATCCAAAAGGATACTATTCACTTTGGGGTCCCTACAAGTTTGCTCAATCCCTCAGATCCTGGACTCGACACTTTTTGGGCTTGTACCATTTTTGCAAACAAACTTTCACGCATTTCTTGGTGGCTCCCAGCCATCCCCTTAGCTTTTTAGCCTTTGAGTGTTTAGTGGTAGTTTCCACTTAATTCACTAAATGTCAACTTTTAGCGGGGGATCAGAAGACGGGCAGCCCAGATTTGGTTACTTTTTCTTTGGCCAAGCCACTCGGAAGTGACGAAGCGGGCGCGACAGGTCTGCTTCTTTGGCTATTTCGGGCGCTCGGGCCTGGAGCTGAGGGCCAAGGCAGAGCCCACCGCCCGGTGGCCCGGGGAGAGGCCAAAGGGACCGAGCCACCCGACAGGTCCCTGGCGCTGGGTCAACACTGCGAGAGAAACGTGCAGTCCAGCTCTGCCATTCTTGCGGTGCCCATGTGGCTGTGGTCAAAACCAATGGGATCCCATTTTTGGGTATGTGAATTCACCACCCATTTTAGGCTTCCTATGTTAGTGGTTGGATTGAATCGGATGTTCACTGCGGGTACGATTTGGCCTTTGAGCCATGGCCATATGCTAGCCGCTGATTGGAGCTGGACTCGGAGCTGGGGGTATCCCAATGCACGTGTAAAGACTCAGCCGGGCTCGGAGCTACCAGAAGTTCTGTAGGGACATGGCAGTATGGGGCGGTCCAACTTTTTGGAGTTGGTACTTGGATGTTCCACTCGCCATTTTTACGTTAGTGTTACCTGTTGGTGTTGAATATTCAAGAAATTCTGCTCCCCAAGAGGTGTACTTGGGTGTTCGGCCAAGTTAGTAAGTTGTTGGGTTGTAACCCACTTGCATGTCTCCCCCAAAGAGGGGTTAACCTTGTTAGCGGATTAGAAAACCACTTACTGACTTGGAGGAAGCTCCAAGTACTTGTTTTTTGGCGGGAAGCCCAAAGGAAAACGGTTGCGCCAATTTGAGTCTTAGTTTCCGTTTAGGTGTCATTGTTGGGTATTTTATTTTTAGCCACAGCCAGTTTTGTGCTTCGAGTTGGCTTAAAAGAACGTGATGTTAGATTGAATAGAAACACTATTTCACGCACATATATTTTCACACCGACGCGACCATACTGTGGATGGATGACCTCCGTGTGTCATGAATGAAGCCCTACGAACAGTGGGGCAAGGAATGGGCAAGGAAGGCACCTATCACCCCACACAGTGTCACAGGCAGCGCTTTGTTCGGTTGATTCCGGTCAGAGGCCCTCTGAAACCAGTAGAATGATGTCTAATGTTCTTACCGAAAGAGAACCGCTCTTGATTAGTGTACTCTTGGCCGGTAGGGGGTACCCCACCGTAAAAAAAAGCAAAGAAAAGAAACCATGGGGTAGGTAACGAAGGGGTACCCCACCTAAAAAAAAAAACAAAAACATGGCGCAGAGTACCTACCATACTGGCTTGCCGGCTAGTGGCGGCTTTGTCAACCCCTGACTAAACTAGCTAAATTTACCATGAACATATTCGGTGTTGTTTTCTCCAAACCATATATGCCTATCACACAGCGGGGAGTTGGGCAGATTTTTTAGGTCAGTTTCGTCTTGGGGCTGGATGTTTTTCAACAGGGAGTACAAGTATTTTCATGTCTTACAAAGTAGCGGAAGCCTGGCTGGTTTCCTTTTGGCTTCTTTTCAGCCAACCCCTTTTTGGGGCACCCTAAAAAAGACAGACCCATATTGGGAAGCCTCCTCAAGCGCGGGGGGGGGAGGCCGGGGCTTTCGTCCGACTCGCCCAGAAGACGAAGCCCTCGGCTCCGCCATCGCCGCCCCCGCCGATGGTGGTGGCGCCAAAGCCGGCCTCCGCGAGCGCCGGAGCCTCGGGCGGAGGCTCAGGGCAGGGCCCTTTGGCTTCTGGTCTCCCGACTCCCGCGGAGGTGATCCTTTTTGAGGTTGGCTGCAAGGCAAAGGAAGATTTTCAGGGTCGCCCTTTTTACACAGACCATGTGTTCAGGTTAGGTTCTATTGGGCCAGTTTTTTGTTGCGCACGGGAAGCTCCGGCTTTGGTGCGCATCCTAAAACATGTGTCATGTAGGTCTAGTCATCATTTTTCTAGGGGATGTAGACGAATGTAAAGGGCCCCAAGAAAGGAAATGACGGGCATGCCCCGCATTGCGAGCTTTGGCCATGGCACATTCCTTGAATCAATGCGGTGAATACAGATTTGATCGGAGAAGCAAAACACTGATGGAGCCATCAGATGATGACTAGTTTCCTTTGAACTTATCCGAAGCCCTCAGCCCCCCAATGGATCCTGCTTTTTCTCCTGAGCTGAGAGGTGTAGCAATGGATGTCTGGGAACATCAGTTCAACTCAGGTTTGCCAGAATGCGCCTCGCTGTTCAGTTGATCCCGCCCGCATTCAACAATTTTGTTTAGTGGGTTCCTTTCTCAGAATGGTATAACATGGTCACTTCCAGAAACAACTGATTCCCTTTTCAACCTTAGCCGCTACAAGGGTTTGCACGGGCTCAACCAGTGTGTCTTTTTCTAGGTGGCCCCACAAAATGGTGGTGTCCCTTGTAGTTTCGCTTCAAATCCACGGTACAAAGAGGCGGTAGCCTCAAACAAGAGACACCCACATGGCATGGTCCCGAACCTCGGTGTTTTCTCAAGAAGTCCATTGGCCAGCTGCCCGATCGATCCCTCCAGGGCACGCCTTTATTAAAATCCGTTTGCTTTTTGCTGGTTTAAATAATCTGGTAAACCATGGCGCGTTTGGATGTACCTTCAAGAATTATCAAACAACGATATGTGGTTTCAGTTTGGTTTCCTTTTGACCGCCAACCACCCGGGCTCCACTACTTTGAGAACCCCCATTAAGGCCAACTTTCCCCCCATCTTCCCATTTGGGGGGGGGCTCGTCTGAATATCGGGGAAACCCCCCCCCATGTTCTTTTTTGCTTTGCTTCAAAACAGAAAGCTGCTGCGATCGGCGAATGAGTTGAGTTGGAATGACCCTGAACTGAACCACCCGTAACTGGGTTTCGATTGGGGATCCGATTCATTCCAACCCACCCATGAGATTCTGATCCCGCAAACCAGTTTTGGCCTAGACTCACTTGCCCAAAGCGAATCGACCTTTTGCACTTTCAGTTTGCCCGTGGTCCATGTTTGGTCATGGCCCCAACAGGTGAACCCTTCCCAGTGAATCCAAATTTCCACTATAGCTAACCAACACCATTTTCCTTCTGGTTTGTATATTGGGTGGGTCCCGGCCCTCGTTTACAGTACCTACCACAGTGGCTTGCCAGGAATCACCGGGTTAGCATTTCTGGGTCCCGTTGAAGCTGAGAGGCTGCCATGGACCCGTCCCGTCCCGTCGTCGCTACCCCAAGCCTGAGGCCCCAGTGGAGGATGCGAAGGAGGCAGGGGCCTCTGAGCGCGTTGTGCCGATGGGGCGAATTCTCTCGGATTCCCTGAACTTCCATTGACTTCCTGTTGGTTTTCAAGGGAATCGCTACTGGGCATGTCTTTGTTTCCAGAAAAAAAATATCTGCAATGAAAGAGCCAGCACGCCATTGGCGACAGGGCCCCTATGAACTTAGGGCGTTTTCCAACCCCTCGACCTCAAGGTCCAGAAAAGGAAGGACGAAAGACAGGCGTGCCCACCTTGGCAAGCGGCTATCGTAGGGCGAACTCGCCTGTGGTAAGAAAAAGGTGATGTAGGTTCGGTGCTTGGGGATAGGACCTTGTTTTCAGGTTCTGGATTTATTCCAAAATGTTCAGTAATTAATACAACTCACTCTTTTTCAGTTCCTGGACTTTCAACTTTTTGGGTTTGGTTTCCATTTAATACTTGAGTGGCAACCAAAAAAATGGGTTACTCGAGTATGTTTTGCCAGTTAAGACCATTTTGGTGGCAACCAAACAGTTCGGTTACTTTGTTTTTGCCAGCTCACTTAAGGGGCGTTGGCTGGGACACAGCCCGGAGCCCGCAGCCAGGCTCCAAAACCAGCCTGAGCCTGAGATCCCGCAGTTTGCTCGATGCGTCCCGTTGTTGAGTTGGCACCCCGCTTTTTTTGTGGGTTGAAAGAGAACCCACAGGAAAACCACAATTTTTGGGGCCCCCTTTAAAAAAGACACCCCCGCATATGTCGGCATTTGAGCTGCGATGAAAAAAACCATTTGTTCATGTTTAGTAAAGGCCTTGAAATACCACAGGACTCGCAAGAACGCGTAAGCATGTTGTTACTAGTATCGTTGTGCAAGCGCGCGTAAGCGACTGGTACTGAAAAGGCCACTTTTGACGCGGAGCGTGCTCGAAACCCAATGCTTTGTATCACGGTGAGGTGGCCGTGTTGGAGGTATACAAAGCGTACTTCGCGTATTTCGCTGGAGCTTCCAAAGTGCGCTTCGCGCATAGGCCGAAAGCCCTCGCGTGAGCTAGTGCTGTGGTGTCGCTTGCGGAAGCCAACGCTTCCTCGCATAGGCTGATTGTGTGCGCGCGTAAGCCAAGCGTTGAGCGACTATTTGTAGCATGCCCTTTTGTTGTGTGGTTTTAGAGGAAAGCCAAAAGGGCAACCACGCTTTTTTTTGGGGGGGGAGGGGGGGGTACCCGATCAATGATTCATGGCAGCTGCAAAGGAATTACCAGACAATTTGACTGCTTTTTCGTGTGCCCTGGAGGTGGGCTTCATTCGCCAGCGCATATCCCTCTGCCTGTTCTCGCTACCTGAGTGGAGCGGAGCAAAGTCCATCCGGTGCTTGTTTTCACTAAGATGGTCTTGCCCAAAAAGGAACAAGTCCAAATAAGGCAACGGGCTTCAGATTGATCTGGCCTTATGGGTGTTTGCCATAGGGGCTTACCCTGCGTTAAGAAACAGATTTGTGGTACCTAGAGTCTCCATGACCATTCAAAAATGGGGTCATTACGGGGTCATTGACCCATTTTTAAAGGGTCATAGAGACTCCAGGTACTTGCGCACTGTGTTGTGTTTCGTTTCGGGGGCAAAGAGACCAAGCTTTGTCGGTCATAGGGCTTGGGTAGCTCTCTCTTCCGCTGCGTTACGCAAGGTTTCGCCCCCTTCTGCCTGTTTTTGGCAGGTTCGGCCCGGGTTCGGCCAAGATTGCTTCAAACACCTCGCCCCTAAAGAGAAACGTCAGTTTTCCTTTTGGTCGTTAAAGGACAGTTCTCTAGCTGGAGTCACTGAGTGGTCTGCGGGGGGCTGGGCTTTTGACAAGTTGATGCTCAGGTCGAGACCAACGAGGTCGCAGGGCCCAGTCAGGTGATGCAGCCGAGCGCTGCGCGGTGGGTTGCATTTGCAGATGGTCCAAACACTGCACAATTTCTGTGGATGGACGAAATCCTGCACCACTTTGTTGATATTTAAAGGGGAATCATCATTCCAGGCCCTGGAATGATGATTCCCCTGTAAATACCAACAAAGTGGTGCAGGATTTCGTCCATCCACAGAAATTATGCAGTGCTTGGACCATCTGCCAGGGTGCACATGACGTTTGGTAAACATTTTTGCAGTAGTGTGTTGTCCGTTTGGGATGTGGGAGGGGCCCCACAAACACCAGGGGACTCACAGATTTGACTATGTCCTTTGGAGAGAACAGTTCATTTTGACCCCAATTTCTTCAGGCGTAGGTACTCCTCAAAGGACTTTCCGGGACTGACAGGGGTCAAGGATCCATCAGAGCCGATGGTTTGTTGCCCAAAGCTTGTGGATCTTTGGTTCGAACTTTCACCTTGACATCCTTTGGCAAACGAGCATCTCCCATCCGAAGCAAGTGCTACAGCCACAGCTTGTGTAAACCCTGAGACTTTTTATCAATAATTCTTATTAAAACATTCATGTAGTCAATACCCTTTTGGGTCAGCTTCAGACTTTTGCCCAGGATCCAAATGTCCATGGGTCATAACCCATGGCTCCATTTTGGGTCGGATGAACACCCATGTACCACCTATTTCGATGTTCACCAGGGGTTTCCTGGGTTTTGACCCACGGCCAAATGGGGCCATCCAGGTGATTTTTGTTTCAGGACCCAAGGCCTTGGATGCCAAAGCGACTCCACCGTGTCACCTTTGGGGTCCATCCTCCCCTGCAGCTTGGGCCAACTCGAATCGCACTTGGGCGGGTCTGCTTGCTTTGCTTGGTTTAAGGGAAAGCCCTGTCTTCGCTGCTGGAACGCATCTACGGGGATGACACCTGATAAATCACACCAGCCTTCCGCAAACGATTTTCTGAAAGGTAGTTGCAGGATCGAAATTACAAAAAAAAACAGAGGTTCACTGCCAGGATATTACCCTCCCACCAAACGTGGAACCTGAAAGGGTTCCGGAAGACCAGTTTGCTAAGGGACCCTTTGTCAGGTTCTCCTGTTTGTTGGTATTTACAAGGGAATCATCCGAAACCAGGGTTTCGCAACCATCCACAGTATGTGAATTGGTGGGAGGATATACCTTTGGGAGCCCCAAAGTGTCTGGCTTCATGCAAAGCCCACCTGGCGCTAGGACCCGCTCGAGGCACTGGCGGTCTCTAGGGAAAAGATGTCCAAG